GAATGGGGAACAATGGACCTTCCAGAAAGAAAGAGAATTCGCCTCTCCAGCCGTTCGTGCCTCTCTTGGTGAAAAAAGTCGATCAAAGAGTCTGGTTCGGTCGAACCACCGGTTCGTCGCTGGGGTAGATATTTGATCGAACCAGCAACACAGCATAGGGAAAGCCCAAGAATTGGGATCTTGCGAGGGGACTGACTGACTGCATCATTCTTGCCCAAATAGTACGTTGCGCTCAGCACTCACCTCTTTTTTTACTTTGTTCCGGTGCTCCGACGGGCAGCGCAGGCAAGTCAGGCGCGGCTAGTCGTGCGCTGCGATTTGCTGCATAGATCGAATAGTCTCGACCTCCAGGAGCGTTCAAGATTCCACAGTACCAAATCGGCCACGGCAAAGGTGCTACGTACGGTGGCCAATGATACATGAGGCGTCGAAGGTGGGGTACACTGGACTTATCCAGCATGACATGGAGACCATAACTATAGTCAGTCTACAATGTAAGCTATGGGTTTCTACGAGCCATGCTTATGCTCCCCAGCACGAACTCAAGGACCTAAGGGATAAAGACCCTGGGGAACCCTAGATGCCACGACCAGCTCAGCTCAGCTAAAAGCTCGAGCTAACCTAGAGATCCCAACGGTAGGGGGGATTGAGGGATCAACGGAATTTCATGGACACATGGACAAAGAACAAATAAATCTCATGGAACGGTAAAAGTTCCGTGTTGTAGTCGTCTGGGACGATGGTGATTCGAAGAGATAGTCGGAATCATCTAAACCCAAGCGGGCGTGGTCAAACACGGGACTGCACTGCACTGCAGCGACGATGGCCAGCCCACTCGGGTTCTGGGCCAAGAAAGGCAAGGTGGCGCGGCCCTGGCGGGCCTCCTGGAAACCGCCATGTGCCCTGAGCGGTGGGGATGAAACAAACTGCCGTCTCACCTGCTCGGACTCTGTGACGGATGCTCATATCCGCATGACGTTGCTTGTTTTCCCCCTTCCGCATGCAGTTCACATCATTGGTTCTGGTTCTGGCTACTATTAGCCTTTTCAGCTACTCATGCTTGTTGTTCCACAGCTCATGTTGTCGGCCGGGGTCGACCCCTGACCGAATATATGGTGTAATTTAGAAGATGTACCGCATGAGGAGAGGATCAGGATCTGTTCGCGCTTGCGGGCAGGGCAGTGGGCAAGTCTGAGATTTTCAGCGTCCCCACTCCCGGGTCAACTTAATTACAATTAGATTGGCTCTCAGTTGACCTGTGCTTTTTTAGTGCGGATTTCTTTTTTTTCCCACCACGTCTCTTCACGATGATACATCCGGTGGCTCGGATTCCCTGCATCAGATTCCCTGTCTCAGTAGAGCTGTGTTTTTGTTGTGAGGTGGTAGTGGTGATCTGTCACTTGTTCAGGTGCGTCACCGGACGGAGGTGATCATCAATTGCCTTCATTCATTCCTTACATCACCGGCGATAGTACTCCGTATTCCGTACTCTCCGACCTTTCCGTAACTACAGTACCTCATGTAATGTACTCCGTACCACCGAGTGCAAGACACAGGTCCGGTACTCCGTACGTAGGACTTTGTCAAACTTTGCTGAATGGAATCCGAGGATGAGCCAGGCCAGACACACCATGTGATTGGTATTGCACTCAACCTGAGGCATCAGGCAATGTCTGTTCTCGGTAAACCAAACGGCCGATCATTGCCAGGCCGGGCGATCCCCCGTCCGCGCTTAAGTTACCTACGAGTAGTATTTATCATCGATTCCAGTTTCATCCTCTGAATGGGTATCGTGACGTTTTCATTGCAGGTCAATAAGGACTAAGAAAAGAAAAAGACAACAAAAGAAGCACAACAAAACTATCTAGATATCTTCGTAAATTTTGGGGGTTCGAAATTGTCTCGATTGTCGTCATCACGTGCTTTCGCTTGGCCTTAATCCTCATCCATCGACTCCCAGCCATCGCCGCCGTGCCCACCGCCAACCTCCTGTCCAGCATCATCGTCCGACTCATCCTGATCGGGCTGCATGCCCACCATGCGCTCCTTGACCTCGCCTTCCAGAGACGGCATGCGCGACACGAATGCGCGACGCACCGCCCCGTTGGTGGAGGTATCCCAAATCTGGACCACGCCCTTGCTGCCGGCCACGGCCAGGCGGAAGCTCACGTCGGCATCCGGTGCAAAGCTCGTCGAGAAGACCTTGCCCACCTCCAACTTGCGCGAGACGACCATGCTGGGCTTGTTGTTCTCAACATTCCAGAGCTTCACCTGCTTGTCCGTCGATCCCGTGACCAGAAAGCCGGGGATAGCTGGGTTGACATCGAAGGCCGACACGGAGGAGTCGTGCGCCTGCAGCGACCACACGGGCTTCGACTCCTTGGGGGTCGCGGGGATGTTGCGCACGTCGTAGCGGTATACCATACCGCCATCGGTCGTCACGTAGAAGTAGTTGGGGTCATGAGGGTCCCAACGCACGTTCTCGACATCCGTATCCACGCCCCAGCGAGCCTTGGAGTCGGGCGCGCGCATGTCCGCGGCCACCACGGTCCGATCGTAACTACCAGTCAACAGGATCGTAGATTCGGTGGGGTGCCAGTTCAACGAGCAGACTTTGTCGGTGTGGTGAGAGTAGGACTTGGCGCACTTGGTGGTCTGCAGGTCCCACAACTTGACTGTCCGGTCCGCCGAGCCGGAGGCCAGCAGGTTGCGGTGCTGCCGGTTGGCAGCCAATGCCAGCACGGCGTCAATGTGGTACTCGTCGTTGGCCTTGGGTTTCTTCTTCTTCGACTTCTTGCCCTCCGCATCGGCACCACCCTGGCCGAGGATGGCGTTGGGATACATGCAGTCGACGATGTCGAGATCCCAGATCTCGATGTCCGGCTCCATCGTTCCAACTGCGACGAAGTTTCCCGTGGTTCGGCCCTCAGCGGCCTTGCCAACGGGGATATCCAGCCACTCCACGGCCAGAGGAATGGCAGGCAGCATGATGTCGTGGTGTACGTAGAGATTGTCGGCGGCGTCCTCGTAGACGTAGACCTCGAGATGGGCGACCTCATCCTCCACCTTACCAGCCAGAATCAGGTTATCCTTCGGCATGATCTGCAACTCCTCTCTTTCCTCATCCTCCTCCTCCGGCGGCATAACCAGGTACGGGTCCTCCTCGTTCGGTTGGTGATACGCCAGCGACTTGACATTGCCGAACATGGTGAACTTCTCGCCATCCTCATCGACCTCGTCGCTGTCGTAGTGGTCGAGATCGTACTCTTTCAGGTCGTCATCACTGCAATGAACCCGAAACATTAGATCTTCTCTCTCTCGGCCGCAATCTCCATAATACAAACAAACGACGGAGGATCTAATATCGACTTACTCGGTAGCAGTTTTCTTCTCCGCATCAGCCGCGGGCTTCTCATCGTCCTCCATAGCATCGTCGCCGCCATCCTTCTGATCCTCCTCCATGGCCTCATCCTCCTGCGCAGCCTTCAGGTCACCCTGCGCTTCTTCGAGCTGCATCTTCGCCAGCTTCGATATGCGATCCATTTCCTCCTCGTTGATTTCATATTTCGTAGGGAACTGGGCTGCGACACCTTGTCGCACCCACGCCGCCGTGGTGATCATAGACGACATATTGAATGTGAGCCGTCACCTTCTTTTGTCGTTTGGAACAAAAGTGGTAAAAAAAATAGCGATAGTGAAAGAGAACGAGAAAAAAAAAGAGTAGCGGCAGAAATCGATAAGAAATTCTCCGCGCGTAACCCCCCAACACAGGCGAAAACTTCTTGCGAAAACCTTCAAGTCCTTGTCTAGGGTCAAAACCAGCAAGACGAACCTGCAACTCTGCCTCTTGACGGAGGTCTATATATGAAGTAAAACAAGAAACGAAGTAAATCACCTGGAAAGACAATCTAGGGAAAAAAAACAAATGCGATGAACCAACTTCCCAATCCAAGTTTTTTTTTTTTTCTCTCTGCTTGATTCCCCCGCCCGGCAGAATCCCCCTCCCTCCCCAATGTCCCATATTCACCGCCTGGCTATCAAATCCCGGCCGGCTCCCGCTGGAAGTCGGAGTGGCTGCAACTTAAGTACGAGTAACTAAAGAATCGTTGCGCAATTGTCAGGTGCTCAAGTCCTACTTCCAACTACGATCAATTACCCAGCAGTAAAGTTCGCCGAAGAACAATACCAACAAAATGCATTCCCACCTTCACACCCCCTACAACATCAGTATGGTTCCCCCAACACTCCCCGCCGCAAACAATGAACACCCCCCCCCCCCCCATTTCTCAAGCCTCCAAGCCCTAACGTACGTGAACACAAACAGACTGCGAGGAAATCATGACCGCATTGGACGAATGCCACGCTCAAGGGTTCCTGCACAAGGCGCTGGGCAACTGCAACGACATCAAGCGCGAGGTCAACAAGTGCCTCTCGGAGCAACGCTATGCGCGCGCAAAGCAGAACCGCGATCAGGCGCGCGAGAACCGTCGACGGATTGAGAAGATCTGGGCGGACGAGAAGGTGTTTGAGGGGGTTCCTGCTGCTGCTGCTGCTGAGGGGAAATAAAAGCTCTCGGGGAGATGAGATTGAAAAGTATGGCATGATCTTGTTTTATATTGTGCTGGCTGGCGATTTTTCATGGTTGGCGTGTAGGAATCTGTACTGTACTCTACTCACTCACACACACACACTCACACACACATTGCATCTGGGATTGGCGTTGGGGAAGGAGGATTACCATTTTTGTTCTACTTTTTTTTTTTCCCATATGTTGTTTTGTGGTTACTGAGAGCTAACGTCTCTCGATTCCGGGTTGGCAAGATATCTCGAAAGGCATCTTTATCTTCCAATATGAAGATATGAAAGATTGGATATACAGCTCACTGCTCATACATATATGGACACGTTTTTTTCTCTTCCATCCCAGCCGAACGCCATACTTAGAAATAGCAACAGAAAAACCAAGAAGAAAAGCGCAACCCGGGTTAAAAAAAAGCAGATTATTCCTCCATGGCATCGCCCGCAGCCGGAGCCGCAGCAACGGACTCGCCAGCTTCATTGCCATCCTCCTGTTTAGCACCCTTGTTGTGATGACGACGTCTGCGCTTCGCCTTGGGCGCAGCAGCATCACCATCGACTCCTTCCTCCGCCGCAACGCCCCCCTCGGCCCCATCAGCGTCAGCGTCCTTCCGCTTGGGCCGAGGCGGCGCCGCCGCCGTCGCACCACCCTCGGCAGTCCGTTTCTTCGGCTTCTTCATACTCAACGGATTGGGCCCCTTGGCTTTCTTCATCCCCGGCTTCTTGCTGCTGCTACTGCTGTTCTTGGTATCTCCCGAGGCCGCCGCCGCCGCCTTAGCCTCGGCCTTCTTCCGCGCCTCCTCAGTCAATCCCGCCCGGAACTTCCCTTGCTCGACGCCGTCGCGGATATCCTCCGAGGGGCCGCTCATGGGCTCCAGAACCATGACCGAGCGCTTGACATACACGATCGGCACGCCGGGGATGGCGCGCGCGCCCTGGCGCAGCTCCCGGGACTTCTGGATCGCGGTCTCGGCCTCGCGGTCCGTGCCGCGCTTGCGCTTCTTGCCCGCCGCGATCGCCGCCCGCTCCTTCTCCTTCTCCGCCGCGGCCGGCGCGTCCGCCGTCGCGAGAATGTAGTGCTCCTTGTTCTTCTTCACCGCCGTGGTCGGCGACAGCAGCGACAGGAGACACTCGACCTCGTCGATCGGGGTCGAGTCCTCGTTGTGCGAGCAGTGCCGGAGGGGCACTTCCGTCGGCGGGGGCAGGAAATGGGGACGCATCGGGTTGTTGGTGCGGGGGTGGAGGGGTTGGTTGGCCATGATAGCGGCGAGGGAGCATTTCGTGAGGACTTTGATGATGAGGGGCGGTAAATCAGTAAAACAGAATCAATCATGCAACCACATACATCATGTGTTATTTGGGTTTCATTCGGAGGGGGGGGGGCTTCAGGCTAAGAACTTACGCGGCTTCACCTTCCCTTGCACGGTGCGCTCCAGCGCCGGGATCAACTCCATCTTGAAACTGTGCACTGCGCGCAGGAAATTCGAATCCACTGAGCCAAAAACAATTTGTTAGATGTCGGGTTCTTTCAATGGGCGGAGCCGATCTTATCAGCGTCCCTCGGGGTGAATCGTTGCAACTTACCCAGAACTTGGTACGGTTCACGGAATCCGAATGTGAGCTCATACTGGTGCATCAGCTTCCGGTACTTCTTGGAGCGTTTGGCCCTCATCGTGATGGTGGTGAATTGGCCGGATAAGGTGGGATCGATTCAGTTCAAAAGACGACGATGTTTCGGCTTGCTTCGATGATGTCTGAAACTTTTTTTCTGCCGGTGATTCTGCCGGGCGGAGAGTGCTAGGGGGGTGCGGTCTGTGCTTCGCTTACTAGCCGCAGTCAGGTACTCGTTTAGATAGAGACTGGACATCTCAACATAAAGGTTCAGTTCTTGAACTCTGCACTTATCCACTACATTTGTTTTCCTTCATTCAGTGTGAAGGTGGCATATCCTAGGTAAGAGCCAGGGTTTTGTTTGGAGTCGTTTCCGCAGACTACAGGCTGTTCCTGCATCTACAATCTTGCCGGCCAAAGTATGAGATGAAAACATAGATTAGAAGTTGTATGGTCTAGCAATCAAATCTGTAAGCAAAATGCCTAAGTTGGCAGACAGCGACGACTACTCCACATCCCCTTCAAAATAAAACACAAGTGGTATCAATGCCCATCGCCATGCAATATATACACCATACCTTCGCCATTCGACCATCTACACACACCCACTGAACGCCAAGGGCTGCCGTGACGCAGCTGAGCGCCGTTCTGCCCTGTCGACAGTACGCCGACTGCCCAGGCGGCGTAGTCACGCACGACAACACAGTATGAGACCCGAGATATTAGCCACGCATGTCGTAGTCGACATTCAGGTGGATCCTTGTATGCAAGTTATATCAATGCTTGAAATCAGACTCAATGCTCTCTCCTCCTGCACGCACCAACCACGACGCTGATATCGTCCATTTTCCCTGCACCGCGGGTCAGCATCCCTTTCTGCACCGAGACAGCGAGACCGGGAAAAGCTAAGCACACTTACCACCTTGAATGGCCAGACCCTCGTCGATTGCCTTCTCCATATATGGACTCTCCGCGAAGGGATCCTGCGCAATCTCCAACGTAGCCCGCAGCAATTCCCTAGCGACATAGACCATCTGCTCGTGGGCCAGCACCTCCGGCGGCGCCCACTCGATTTCCTTGTTGTCATAGCGCCCTTGGTGCCACTTGTCGAGGCTCTCAAGAACGACCGTCAGGATCTCATGCTCCCAGAGATTGTCCACGACGCCATCCGAGACCGCGAGCACGATGTCGCCCTCCTGCACGTCGATCTTGCTGAGCACCGCGTCCTTCTTCGGCGTGTCGACGCTGTTCGTGCCCAGCTGCATCGGACAGTCAAACCAGTGCCATTGCTCCTGGGTGCGGAAGAGCATCGTTTTATCGCGGGGCCGGATGACATAGATCTTACAGTCGCCGAGACAGGTCACATACAGCAGCGGGTTCGTGTTCCCTGCATGATCGCGCGTGCAATGTAACAGGGCGGTGACTGAAGTGGTCGTGCCCAGCCATTGGCCCGGGGAGCTGGTCGCTTGGATGGTTTCCTCGTAGGCCCGTTGCAGGTAGCCGATGGGGTCGAGTTGCGTACTCGTGTTGGAAACGCGCTCAACCTCCAGCGCCCAGAAGTGAAGGAGCAGTCTGGCCCAGAGACTGTATGGAGATCAAGCAAAAGAGAACGTGGTCAGCAATGAGCTTGGATGGAACAAGAAGACAACAAGCTTCCTCTCTAAACCCTTGATGTAGGTAGTCTACAGGGTCCAAGGGGAAATGGGGGGTGGGATTGACAATTTGGGGAACAAGGTTCGGAGATAACCAAAAAAGAAAAAAAGAAAAAGAAAAACACCTACGCTGCATGGCCCTGGGGCTTGGTTGCCCACGCTCCTACCCCATCATTAACAGCCAGATAATTGTCGGCGACTAGAACGGCATCGTCCCCATTGTTCAAGCCCCGGACTAGATCACCCCGAACGGATAATCTCTTATCCTGACTGAGGTAGTGGGTGGTCAGGGGGTCGGAAAAGGAAGATGACGGGGGAGAGAGGAACGGTGGGGGGAACGGCCGCGGCGCGCGTTTGGCGCAAAGGGCATAGCCCGTCTGGAAGCAATACGGAGATTGCGAGATGGGGAAATGTGGGTTAAGATCTGGAACCGGCGTGGTGATGCCGTAGGATGGCCAAACGGCTCGATATCGCCGCACCGGCACTGCGGATGTTGGGGAGACCCTGCAGTGCGCGCTCCACAGTGGGCTGCGTCTAAAGGCTGACGAGGGAGATGAGGGGATGATGATGGAGGAGGAGGAAGAGGAGGAGGAAGAGGAGCACACAATCGAGCTAGCAAGCGACTTGGGCACCATGCCCGCTAATGATTAGAGGGAGTCTTTGATAGGTGTTACTGTCGTCGTCTCTCTACAACAACTAGAGAAGACCGACAGAGGAAAATTTTTTATTTTTGTTTCTTCTTTCCAGTTTTCTCTCGGACAGTCTGTCTGAAAGGAGACACCGCAGGGCAGGGTCGGGGCGGTTCCAGAATTTCCGAATTTCCCACTTGACTTGACTTGACTTACTCACCCTTGATCAGAGTCATAGTCAGTCAATAATTCACCAGTCAATCCGCTTGACTCAGCCGCCCCACCACCACCTGACTACTGTACTTGCTGTCTGAAGCCTCAGGCATTATTGACTTGGTCGAAAATGGAAAATCCCAAGTAGATAAAGTGATGATCAACATCAATGATCTGGGGATCATCCAATATCACCCCACTACCTAGTAGTCTGAATATGTATCTGAATTGAGCACATACGTACAGACGCTTCAGGCTGATGATATCGAGTTTTCTGCATAACATTATTTCCCCATGTCTGCTTTGCATTTTTCCTGTTGTGCACATGGGCTGCTCCTCCACTCATTAAATCATCACGTCATAAATCATCAATCGTGACCGTGCAGAACGCACAAAACAAAAACAAACGAAGGAAGAAACAGATTCTCAGAATCGAGCACTTGCTCAGGTTAGGTTCTTTAGCAGCCATTGGCCGCCCGCAGCTTGTCGATCTCGTTTGCGATGGTGGTCAGTGCACCTTTCATCTCAACTGCGAGATAGCAGAGGTCTTTATCGTCCCGGATGGTCGATACTGCCTCGAAGATGCTCCTGGCGAGGATGTTACACCGCGAACCGAGCTTCAAGTGTGGAAAGTTCCGGCGATTCTCTAATGTCATGACGGTCAAGTTCCATCCGGCACAAGGACAAACACGCTCGGGGTTCATGGTACAGGCCATCGCACAGCTGCAGGGTGATCTACAGGTACATCTTCTCTCGCGAGCATAATCGATCAGACCACGTCGCTCATCCGTACGTCGAATTTCACCGATAACTCTGCTTTCCAGTATGGCTAGTACTGCCTGACGGTGCCCGAGGATAGTCTCACGTTCCCACGCCGCTGAGTCTACCGATTTTTCTTCCACGAAACGCAGGCGTAGTTGCGGGACCTTGGTGCGAATTGCGTCCCTAGGGGCGAATGACAGATACTTCTCTGACCCAACAATGAGAACCTCTCTAGGGGGCATCTGATATGTGAGGCCCGGGCCGTCCCATTTCTGGCGGAACTCCGATTCTGGATTTGCCAGCAAGGCCAGGGTGGACCGACGGTATCCGACGAGGTCATCAAGCGAGAACCCAGTCGCCCTCAGCGTATTCACCGCTCGACGGACAAGCCCAGCTTGGTGTTGACGCAAGATGTCCTTGCTGAAAATCAGGCACACGGATGGACTGTCTAGGGATTCCTTACAGACCAGCAACATCTTCATTGTGCTATGCTGCTCGGGAAGCATAAAATCATCCTTGGTCGTGACGCGGGGGATCCCAAGGTGAAAGTAAGAGCATAGCTCGGCGTTCGCGATTTCCATGATCAGCTTGGCGTACAAGGAGTAATACAGAGTCTCCACAGCTCTGACCAGATCTTTGATACTGTTGGACGTCGCGAGCTCCTCTGCCTTCCGGATATGTGCTAACAGGCCTTCATTATCGTCCAACTGCCACCGAAACTGCACGTGTTAGCCATGTTCATCCCCAAAGGAATTGAGACGTCAGAGTGTCCTTCACGCACGTCAACGTTGTAGAAGTAGAACACTACGACGACAAATTTGGCAATGGCGTAGACTTTCTTGTAGACCTTCATCACACTTTCGATCCAGTCTGTAAGATCCTCATTACCAGATGGATCCATGTATCTAACCAAGCCATTGACCAGACTCCAGTCAGGAGACCCAATTGCGTAGGGAAGGGCGGGACGTTCGATCGGAACCATTTGCTGCGAGTCTAGGTCAACCCACGGGCTCAAAGCAGGGGATAATTCTAGAGAACGAGGACGCGCAATCACCTCGGTACAACTTACAGCTGATGCGTAGGATACCGCAGTACTGCCCGACGAGCGCAACCCCATCTCTTCCGCCAATCTTCTGTAGTTTTCCTCCCCGCTTGTCTGTAGCAAATCCCGAGAGTACTTATAGAAGCCATCCTGCTGGTCGCCGAACAGGGTCGAATCAACGGATTCCTGATAGGTATGACAGTGAGGATCGAGTTTCAGAAAGTGAGATTCATCATCATCACCACGCGGGAATAGTTTGCGCCTGGTCGATGCCCATAGTTGCGAAGCGGCTCTGTGGGCGCCCTTCATTTGAAGAGATAAGAGATCGATGTGACTTGATGTTCACTTGAGTGGTTGGTTCAAGAGTCACTTGAGTGATCGATGTGAAAGGGAAACAAATGATGGATGGACGCGATGTGACTGAGAAACAGTGCAAGTGATGAGAAAAGAAAGCGAAAGCCAGGTGAAAGAGACCCAAACCCGCTGTCACAGTACAGGGATGAGGTAAGGCGAAGTGAAAGTGAGCATACGGGGATGAAAGTGGTAGAAGCTAGCTAAGTACCAGACGTTGTGTTGACATCGCGTGTGAGCGATGGAACAGAGAAGGTACAGGCGAACAGCTCAGGTGTGCTTGCTACTTCATCACATTTAGACCACCATCGATCTATATGCATAAGTACCAATAGCCTAGCACTCAAGTGCTTACAGCTTATTTGCTCTAGTTGGAGATGCAAGGTGAGAGAAGCTCTAACATTAGTGAGAGGATTCTAATACAGAACATAAACTTGCTAGCCTCCTATGCCTACAACCAGCAAGAGATACAAGGACATTTCGCCACCCATGCGCTGCGCCAGTACATTTTGACAAGGACAAATGATGATATCAAACTATGAAGGCAGTGGATCAACTTCGATGAGGGCCTTGTCCCCATTCGACGTGTATGGTAGAATAACCTCTGGGATTCTCCATAAAGTTTCATTTGCTCGCCTAATGAAGTCGGGCGGCAGATTCCCACTTTCGCTAAACGAGAGAGACTTCATATTGAGGAGAAAAGTAGTTAGCTTGCATCTCATGGAAGACCACCCAGGGAGCCTAAGGTCGATTAACACAATCAAATATGTATGCTTACCTTTAAGCTGTTCAAACCTCTCACCCACTCAAGCCCCAGGTCACAAGCCTCGTCGGGTAGGCAAGGATAGTTTTCAACATGATAGAGGAGTATATCATGGCAATTTTCCAGCCATAGTACTTCCAACTTTGCTCCAGGAGCTGGACTGTCATCGTCCTTGTTCGAGTCGTCGAGTTCTCCCTCGATGCCACCCAGCCAATCCAGGAATTCAGACTGAACTCCACGACACGTCCTCAACTTGAGTACTCTCAGATTCGGGTTTCTTTTGACCAACATCATTAGCTGCCAGGGAGTGATACCAGCTCGCTCCATGACTAGACTCTGCAATCCGCGGGGCCCATAATGCGTGGGCTGTCCGATCCCGATCAGAGAGTTCCACGCAGTACTCCCCGGTGCGGGACTCAACCAAGCACTTGGTCGCATGGAACCATCACGAATATGTGGATGTTCAAACCGCAGCGCAAGGTGGTTGAGAACATGTCGGCTATTGACAGCCAGAGCCGTCGCGCCCGTGACGTCGAGATTATATGCCATGAACTCGAGTTTCCGGAGCCCGCGTCCGTAACGATTGACCACCTGCGCCAGGATTCTGTTTTGTTCAGGGACTGTATGCTCATGGGTCCGGGATGTCTCTTGCGTCAGATGTATTCGTCTTTTGAGGTCCTTGACTTTCACTGCGGGCTTGTAGGTCAACGGCGAGGCCCCGTGATTTGCCGCTGACTGAACGATTGATATTCTATAGCTGTCGCCCCGGACATTATCAGCTGAGCCCTCCAGCATCTGTTCTGGTGTCAACCATCCAGCTCGTAGTAGGGAGATAGCCGAATGAGAGCGCTTTTCAAAGACACCTAATCGTAGATCACTGAGGCACAGAGTATGCGACTCAAAGTTGCTGCGGCATGTCTCTCCAAAGGCGAGCAATGATTTAAGAGGCAGGTAAGAGAGAATGTGAAGGATAATTTCCAACGGTAAAGAGCTTATTTTATCAGACATCATGGGGTTCTGCCGGATGTCTCAGCCTGCCGTGGAAACGGTTTCAAAATCGCAAGGGAGTCTGCCAATTAGTTTATAAGCGATGGTCCCCGACACGCCTCGTTTGCACACTAACATTCGCCATCCAGCATGACTGGGACCTTATGTGATTAAGACAGCTAAGATCAGCTGAGTCGTTCGCCGGAGCCGAGAATGGCGCGCTCTTACCTGTCGAATCGTAGCTGAATTATCAGTGTCGCAAGTTTGTTTATACCCGCATCAGCTCCGGTTCCGAAACAACAAGGGTTGTGGAGGGGCGTCTGTTCAATATGAAGAATGATCGGAGCTATTATACCACTATGTGCATGATGTGAGAGAACGAAGAACGCAAGAAAAGAAACGGGGGACGAGAGAGAACGCAAGGATGAGACACCCACGAGGAGTGAGGATGTCCCGTAAATCACGGGGAAATCATTCCATGCAGGTGGGGACTTTTTCTGGCTGCACCATCTAGATCCAATGGCCTCATCGCATCCTCATTGGGACAATGCATATTGAGCTTATGGAAAGGCTCAACCCTTGGCATGAACCGGTCCGGAACAACTGAAGCGATGGAGGCCCTTTGTGGAGGCTAGTCTAAAGGACGACTTCTTTAGTCCCGGTGGGTAACCCGGAGAAAGCCAACAACAACGGCGAGTCAGTCGCCATTGACACTAAAAGGTCAAGGCTAACTGCAATCAAGCCTAGAATAGGTTGCCTTCTCAAGTAGCGAAACAAGGTGGAATTGGACTTTCATATTCATTCTAACGGGGCCAATCTCGAATTTCCCGTTGAACTCTTTCCCCCCTTTTTTTCTTTTCGTTTTTCTTATCCTTGCAGACCGGCTGCTGGGTGATTCGCTGGCTAGACAAAGCCGCGAAGTACGGGAATCCATTCAAATGGAAGATGCGATCGGGTAGCACAGCTGCATGCTGAGCATGGGCGCGCTCATTGTGGGCTATCTGAGTGTGACACCTGAGCCTCACGACCTGCATGAATCACTATCAGCAGTAACCCTATTTTCCTAGGTCTAGGTGCACAGTGCACACCAAAGGACGCCAATGCAGCCGGTACCCCGAAGGTCGGGATGATTATAATAAGAGGGTAGTACTATTGCGGTGATGCTGTAGGGATGCAGCGCCAGTCGCAATGGGCTGAGCTAGCGACTACAGGGCATCGCACGTACAGTACGTACAGTACGTACTGTGGTTACTTGTAGATCTGCCGCGAGCAGTTGCGGGCCCCTCCTCGGGTGAAAAGCACTGACTTCGTTCCATTGATTCCCACACATGACCGAGATCCTCCAATAGCAGGGTGTGGTGAAAGGTTGGTAGCTGATTCAATGAGTACCTCCTAGTAAGAGCTTGTCCTGTGGTCCCGTTTGAGCGTCACGTAGCGAGCGCACATAACGGATGGATGTCTGGGAGGACAATAAAGGAGACATTCCCGGTAATACTGTAACTCGATGTGACAGGCAGCAGGTGACCCAATTCTGAGCCTCGAGCGATTGGCCGTTAACCGCAACGCCTTCTGAATGGAGGGACTAGCCCAGTAAGCCCAGCCTTAAGTCCATCGGTAGTAGTTCAACAATGCAACGACGCAGCGATAGCGCAGTTGTGCTCCTTTTAGGCGCGTGCCGGTAAATTCGGGCTGCTTGTGGCGGGAAGCGTTGGAAGGTCGAGGTTACAATACTGCTTCCCGCCCTATACTCGGGTCGGTTCGGCCAATTTATTAGTTGCTGGTCACATTTTCTCACACTATATGTTTTCATCGCAGAACCAGATGCTATTAACCAGCCTTCAAGAGGAGAAATCAAGGGCAAGGAGTACTTGGCTGAATGGACAATATGGCAGGGAATAGGTAAGAATGGTCAAATGAGGCAAAAAAGGGTAGAATTCGCCCTAGACTCAACATTAGTTGAGCCCAGTGAGGGGGACATGTCCCTTAGCACTGCAGGTGACAGGTAGTTCTTTGATCATTCTGGCATTACTGTATTGCTGTCAGCACTTCCCCACCCACCCCTGTGCTTGTCACGGTTCATCTTACGCACGCCCAGAAGCAAGGGTACTCTGCACTGTTGCTGATCGATTCCCAATGAGACTACTTCTAGGCCCATGCGCCTGTCAACAGTAGAGCTCAAACAAAGACAAATAAAGGCAAGGAAGAGAAAGAAAATAAGCATGTGATACGAGTAAAGCTATACAATTGAGAAGCAAACAACTTCGGCCTATGCATGTATGCATTGTCTCCAGCACTACCCCTCCGCCGAATTGCAATATTCTATACAGAGAGAACAAGAAGCCCGCTATCCTACCCCTGGACCCGGAAAGTACGGCCACTGGCTGTCTTCCTCTCCCGCTCTTCGTTCTCGGGTCTCGCCCGGTTGAGTACTGCCAGGAATTAGTGACATGAACCCAGTCGAAACCCGACCGACATCGAGGCTTACCTTGGAGGAAGTCTGCAGTCCTCTTGCGCATCCGAGTGTGGATGTATGCCTTTCTGATGTGTTAGCGCCTGGTTTATTGGTCCGGAAGCAAGAGCAAGAGCTACCTTGGAGGCTTTGATGTGGTAGTGGAAGTAGTCACGGAAGATCTGGATATGGGAAATGTTTTCATAGCGTCTTTGAGGTGTCAAATGGCGAGGGAAAAGAACTATTCTCAATCAGTGGATGTTGCAAGACAAAGAGAAAGGAATGCTGGGTGCGCAACTTACCAAATGTGACGTAGCTCAGTGTGCCGTCGTTGACGTTCTGCAGACCGGGCACCCCAGCCAACTCGAGAGGTGGATCGTTGCGGAAAAGCACTTGAGGAGCGTTCTGCAGCGTCAACACACGACGTCTGGCATCAACGAACTCCTGCAAGAAGACTTTGCCGAAAATGCGATCCGTTTCCTCCCGGAAGACGGTGCTGAAGATGACTGTGACTCGATCATGGCTGGCCTTGATGTAAATCGCCTCCTCTTCACGGTAATGGATAGCCATTACTTCTCCTCCTTCCTTGACTCCCTGAGGAGCCGATTCTGTGGTGTACCTCGAAGCCTCCTCCGACAGCTTTGCGAATTCGTCGAATGCTCTTTCGAAAGGGGCGGCCATCGCGTTCCGCTTCATCAACGCCAATCGCATGATAAGGTCATTCTTTGCTTCCTGCTCAGCAGGAAGGTTCTCCAAGTC